ACTGCTAACAGTAACATGCTGCTAACAGAACCACACTTTTAACAGAACCACAATGCTAACAGAACCACACTGCTAACAGAACCACACTGCTAAAAGAATCACACTGTCAACAGAACCACGCTGCTAACAGAACCATGCTGCTAACAGAATCACACTTTTAACAGAACCACACTGCTAACAGGACCATGCTGCTGTAAATGTATTTCTTTTTCACTTTTGACATCTTGTTTTTGTATTTGTGTTGCTTGCGTTGGTATTTTGTGTTTTTTTTTTTTTTGCGAGTTGAGATTGTTCTTTTCATTCTGAGCATTTCATTGCATTGTTGACCTTGTGTTGATTTGCATATGACAATAAACCTGAACTTAATCATTGCCAGTAGCTTTATCCTTTTTATTAATTGTGTTTCGGCCTTTTTCCTTTTTTCACAAATTATTACAGTTATATTGGTATTTTGGACAGATGCTTTACTGATATCCTGCAACATTTCTTTAAAAAAGTTTATTTTTCTTTTTTGCTCTTTCCCATATGTGACCAGACCTCACTAGCTTTGCTAAAGATGTTTGACTGTCTGCATAGGATTCCATGTTGTGCTCAATGTCTCCAGCAGGTTTTTGGAAAGTTCTGTAGTCTTCTAATCTATCCATTTCTTCATTGGCCTCCAGCTTACTTGTGCGATTGATGTCCTGGAGACTCTGCTCAGCTGAATCAATGAGTCCCTCCTCCATGTCCATGTCTCTGTACTGCTCATGATCACGCAGTCTTTGCTGACTGTAGCGTCTGTCGGTGTCCTGAGTTTCTCGATTAGAGCGCTGTCGTCTGTGTTTACGTCTGTACCCTCGAGATACTGGGACGCCAATATAGATGGACTGATGATCTGCAGAGAAATAGTTCTGTGATTGTCATGTGAACATGTACTACAACTATCACTTACTCATAGGTTAAATAAACATTTTTGTGGGTTTGAAAAAGATTTCACTGGCAAACCATAACATGAACAGAATGTCTAATATAATATGACTTTTTATTAATCTCTCATACTCACACGAAGGGCTTTATAAATGTCTTATAACTTTAATAACTTAACTTCACTTTAATAATCACTTCACCACTCGCTCCCCACGAGATCGGATGCTTCTCTCCCTCCCTCTCCGCTTTGCTGCTCTGTCTGTCTGTGAAATTGCTCTGAGACTCTCTTGCATTTCTTCTGAACCATAATTATGGACTTGTTTTGACCAGTCGGTCCCTCATCTCAATTTACAACATTTCTTCGAAGAGAAGACAGGCTTTGGACGAGCCGATTTACCCTGTGGGCACGTACGCAGCTGGATATCTCATCGACTGGAAGACTTGATGATGTGTCTATCTCTGCTGCCATCTGTGGATGTTAAGGATGAATATTTACTTGGATTCACAATAACTGGTTCCTGCTTTTTGGATTCAGCTGGTGCTGGTTTTATCTACAATCAAGGAAGTCATCAGCAGCAAATTTGGACCCGATCACGCTGCTTGCCTTTATGATGGTTTGGTTCATGTCTGGAGTACCCGGACTCAAATGCTTTGGGCTGAATGGATCAGATCTTGGGGATTTTTACTCAGTCACGTTCCATCAGTGTGGCCATGTTAATTTGGACATTTTGGAACCGAGTGGACCAACACAGACTGAAGGTTGATGTCATTAAGTTCTGCCTGTTCCCAAAACAATTGTGTTTATCTAAATTTTGGTCGCCTTGGTCCTTGAAGGCCATCTTATCTGAATTCACCTGGAGAAAATGTGATCTGACGCTCACCACCCCTTCCCTGAGGAATTTCCAACTGATAACCAGATGAAACCAGCTGAATAAACTTTGTGTCATCATTTTAGGACTCTGGATTCTTATAGAGGTTATTCTTGGCCATTCCTCGACATACCTCGAGAATGTTTATGGATCTCACTGGAGGACATTGACTGATTACAGTGACCTCGAGAGCATCTGTAGGCGTTGTTGACCGGTCTCGTCTCTGATGCAGAATGTCTACGTAAATATGTGCTTGTTTGTGCGAGGTGTTTTTTCAATATTAGGGGTTTTTCTCAGCCAAGAAAAAAGTCTGATAGGAATTTTTTTTGCCTCCAACTCCTACATGTGTCCAGTTAACCACTGTTTTTTGTCTGTCCAAACAGGTCTCACTTGTAAATGAGTCTTCGAGGCTCAATGTGATTTATCTGTTTAAATTTTTTTTTTTTTTTTTTTTCATTTAGCCTTTATTTATCCAGGTTAGTCTCATTGAGCCACGAGAACTCATTTTCAAGAGAGACCTGTTTAGGGAGCACATGGTGGGGGTTAAGGGTCTTGCTCATGGGCCCAGAGTGGGGCGAATGAGGGTGGGGGCAAGTGTGAGTGTTTCACCTACCCCACCCACAATTTTGATGTTGTCGGGGCCGGGGCGTGAACCGGTGATCTTCGGATCACAAGCCCACCTCTCTAACCTCTGCGCCACCACTCCCCCACGTGAATGAATGAAAAAAAAAAAAAAAAAAAAAAATCTAAATAAATTCTGCATTTTAGAACACGTCACCTTTACAACAATTGTCTTTTGGTGCAACTATAGAATAAAAATAAACAATTTAAAATTAATCATTGCCAAAACTTAGCTCATGTAATCCCCCTTCAGTATCAACACGTGAATGACAGTTTATTTGTCAAACAGTAATCTGTAAAACGAATTGCACACACAACTCCAGGTGGAATTGTTTAAGAACATGGAGACAAGCAGCAGTTTTAGATCTCTGAAAAGGAACAAGAACTGTAGCCAGGCATGGCGGCACAAACTAGTCCCTGCCTCAAAATACTAAATTTATCTCTTCATCTTCTTTCATGAGCCTTTTATCAAACATATGTCTCAATGCTGCTCAATAATCCAGATGAATCTAACCAGGTGGAGTCAGATCCTCTGGACAGATTCTTCTTGTTGAAACATTTCCTCCTGTATCCAAAAGACTTCTTCAGTCTTCAAACGTTTCAACAAGAAGAATCCGTCCAGAGGACCTGACTCCACCTGGTTAGATAAAAATGAACAGGTTTTGATCATTGTCTGATTTCCTCTTTGACATTGACATATCCTGTGTAAACTGGAGTTTACAAAGGCCAAGTTTACAACATAGCCATAGACGACTGACACCCATAAGCACACTCTCACCATCCTTTTCCTCATACTGAAGATGAGAGGCACCCATCCCTCTGTCTCCATGCTCCATCCTACAGGCAGGACAAACACAGACAAGTTAGGAAATCAAGAAATAGAAATTATATCAAATAACTGTTTAACACATTCATATGTCCATCTTCCTCCACTTATGTAATTTTGGGGCATAGAGGCAACAGATGTTTCTTTCCCCAGAGACAAATTCCAGATCATCCTGAAGGATCTCAAGGCATTTTGTTTTATTAACCTTTATTTCTACAGGTTAGTCTCATTGAGTAACAAGGACTCATTTTCAAGGGAGACCTGATATAGATAAACCAGAGATAAGGTACACACAACAATAAACAGCCATAAAATGCATATTAAAAAAGTAAATAAAAGTAGTGATATGGTATGGTATATAGTTTATTCATTTAAAAAAATACAAAACAATTCCATAACAATATAAAAAAATACAAGAGATTTAAAATGAAAGGTGCAGAAAGAAGAAAAAATCTTATTATATCTGCCCCTTTTTTCAAACAATTAGTTCCATCATAATAATCTTCAAGTAACAGAACAAAATGAATAACTCTTTCTATTTTTTCTCATTTTAATACAAAAAACACACTAAGCTACTTCATATATATATTTTTTTACAACATTTCATCTTTGATCTTTTTCTTAAATGTACACATTGACTTGGCATTTTTCACATCACTCTCTAGAACATTCCACAATCCAACTCCTTGGATTGAGGTAGACCTTCCCTTCAGACTAGTTCTGAATTTTGGTTTGACAAATATCTCTATCCCCTTAAGATTGTAACAACTTTGTCTTTTAACAAAATTTCTTTGGATATTTAAAGATAATGTGTTATTTTGAGCCCTATACATAACTGATAAAATACTATAATCTACCAAATCATGGAACTTCAATAAGTTCAGTTGATAAAATAATGTGCTTGATGGGTGACTGTAATGCTTTCTGGTGATAATTCTTACAGCTCTTTTCTGTAAAATAAAAATGGGCTTTGTAAATGTTTTACACGCTTTCCCCCAAACATCAATGCAATAGATTAAATGTGGAACAATGATTGTGTTATACAACATGTACAGAATATCCTGATGCATGCTCAATAATCCAGGTAGAAAAATCCAAAAAAGTTCAATCTGGTCCTCTGGACATTCAAAAAAAACAAAAAAACAAAACAAAGCAAAAAAATATAGAAAATTTTCGTCTCTCATACAAGAGACTTCCTCAGTCTGAGGTGCTGTATTCAGCTCAGTCTCTTAAATAGCACCTTCTCAGAGTGGATCAACCAGTGTTGCTGCTGACAACCAAAACCAGCTGATCACATGCTCAAGAAGGACCATCAGCCTAACAATGGATCATTAGCACCTGATGGCTGTTTACTACTCACAGAGGGCTGAGTGATACTAGCAATCACAGCATTGTAAGAGGGGGACAGTTGAACCCGGAGGCCTCCACCCCTGTTTAATGATGGACGATTTATTTTCACAAAGATGGCCTCCTTTACTCCTCTCTCAAACCATCGTTCCTCTCTGTCCAGGATGTGAACATCTTCATCCTTGAAAGAGTGACCGCTGGCCTGGAGATGAGTGTAGACCGCAGAATCCTGGCCTGATGATGTTGATCTTCTGTGCTGGGCCATCCTTTTGGCCAGTGGCTGTTTAGTTTTCCCGATGTAAGACTGATCACCCTCCTGACACTGAACAGCATACACATTATTACTCTGTTTGTGCCGGGGGACAGGATCTTTGGGATGAACCAGTCTTTAATGTATTTTGGGGTTTAAAAGCCACTGGGACGTTATGTTTAGAAAATAAACCTCTCAGTTTCTCTGATACTCCCTCAACATATGGAATGACCACTGGTCTGGGTCTGGGTTCCTCCTTTTCACCTGATGGCTGACTGGAGTCCTGTTTGGGTTTCTTCTCTGCTTTCAGGAAGGCCCAGTTAGGATATCCACATTGCTCTAGAGCCTGTCTTGTGT